CCCACTTGCCTGATGGCATGTGAGGAAAACTCCTGCACGTTTACAGTCAGCATTGAGCAGAAGGTAGACGAAAAAGTGCATGGATTTGTCCCCTACTATCCCCTTAGATTCCCCGATGGCTGAGATGCTCAAGCAGAGGCTGGAGGAGCATCTGGTGAAGTGTGAACTGGATCACCTTCAAAGCACTTACCACTGCGAGATCACCTTCTCTGGCGAAGGAGATCTGAGGCCTAAATGTCACGAGATCTCTTCTGGAATCCCTAGACATCCAAGGTGCCCCATGAGCCAATGAAAATTGTCTGTCTTTGGCTACAAATCCCATCCATTTGCTTGGGAGGCTGCTTCGAGGCCGCCGGCAAAGCAGAGACCAGGACAGAAGAGACCGGGCCATATCAAAAAAGACCATCTAAATAAATCAATAAATATCTTTTACAAAATAGACCATCCACCAGCTGAAGACCTCCTGGCTTTGGCGTCCTGCATAGCTGTAAGCCTGTCATGTGCTCTTGTATTAAATCAGCGGGTACCATAAAATTACAGACTTGAGTATCCCGGACGGAAGAAGGCCGAGTGGTCATTGATGCAATTTCCCACCAACCGTAATTAAAATGTTAAAGAACAGGCAAGCTCACTCCCCATGGAAGTAGACCAGCGGGCACAAGTGTCAGACATGGACCTACTTTATACTGAGCCAGAATCTGTCATTTCACTCTCGGTACCAGGTGTGCCACCTTGGGTGTGACTCTCATGATGCCCATTAGACTTATTTTTACAAAGCTAAATATATTGTTTCTTCAGCTATTTATCATTTATTTAACAAGGAGTTAATTACTCTCTGCAAGACTCTTCCAAGTCACTGGCCTACTAAAGGACATCATTTAAAATGAGCTTGTGAATTCTAAATGTTCTCTGACCAATACTAAAAAAGGGACCATATTGGATGTTAGGGACACTATAGTTCTAGTAACATAGCTTAAGACTTTTTGGATCCTATTGGCTACATCATCAACTATAAACCCACATGGAATTCTATCAAGACAGGCCAGGTTTCATACACTTTCAGTAGGATTGTGGGACCTGGGGATGAGATTTCCATCTCCCCAACTTTGTGGTCTTCTAGCTTGTCAAATCATTCAGAACATGGAGCGTATCGGCTGCCACTACAGCATTCCCTGCCAGGACTGTGTCACCTGCAAATGGTATCTTCATCCAAGTCGTTGATAAAAATGTTAAAAGATGACAAGACAGTCAGTCATTCACTCAACAAATATTTGTCAAGCACCTACAATATGTAAGACATTCAGGACAGAAACAAGAGGAACAACTGTATTTGTATGGGGACAACTTTTAAAACAGCTTTCTATGAAGCCCTTATATGAGGTGGATATCTTTTTTTTTTAAGATTTAGCTAAACTCATTAGATATTTATTGATCACTTATTCTTCTCCTGGTATCATGCTAAGCTTTACAAAAGACACAAAAAATTAAAAGCTACAGACCTGTTCTAAAAATCTGCCCTCATTAGTGAGGCAAGCTGGACATACAAAACATTTTATGACAGGCAGCATTTATACAATTCATAAAATGAGGGGTCAACAATATCACTTTAAAGCTCCAAAAGCAATCATAGGTTTCTAGAGATGGGTCTCCTAGGACCTCCCTCCTGCCCTCACACCACACCAAGTCAGAGTCAACACGCGTAAGGTGTATTTCTTGGTAATTTTAGCCTTTGTTGGATCCAGTCATTAGAGTGAAATTCCAACATTCCTGTGCCTAGTTGAAAGTTGCTTTCTTGTACCTCTTTAGTACAAATACTCAACAATTTTATTAAATCAATGAATAAATTCTCATCTCTCTAAAATCAGAAGAAATTTTGGTCTGATTTGATCATCTGAAGGCAACGATCACGTCACCTAATTTTCATTTTTTAGGCTACATGTCCACAATTCCTCCACTAGACATGGTTTTGAGATCTCCCCACCCTTAAATAATTGTCATGTAACAAACATTCACTGAAGATGTGATTACTGAATGATACACAAATGAATGGCCTGGAAAGCTCAGGTCTGTCTAAATTAGTCTCAAAGAGAAAAGCTCAGAAATGAACACCTTGCTGGAAACGTGATGAGACAAGACCTGTTGCTGTTCCTCTGCTCTGGATATCATAATGCTATTTTTGATGGCTTAGATTCAGCTTTGGTTTTGTTATTTGAGGGAGGGGGCAGTAACAATGCAATGCCTCACTCTGAGTTCAAATAAAATCTTGCAAACCTTAAAAGTGTGACCAACTGACTAACTTAGGGATCAAGCCCTACGTAGTCACGCATAAAGAAAGGTGACACCACAGTGTTTATTATCACGTGAACAGAATGTAGGTCCCTCTAGGTGTGCAAGTCTTTCTAAGGTTATGCTGGTATTCTCACCACCACGACACCAAAGCTCCTTTGGAACTGCAAGATTTTGCATTATCTGGGAAGAGGTTTTTATAGTTTACATCTGAAAATATTCCCCCGAAGTCTCATATGCTCAGAGATGGGGCCTGGTTGGAGCGGTCAGGACAGTGGGGGTGTGCTCTGAAGGGATGTAATCTTGTCCCCGCCTCCTTCCTTCTCTCTCTGCTTCCTGGCTGCCATGAGATAAGCAGCTCACCTCCTCTAGGTCCTTCCACCAAGCCATTTCTGTCTTGGAGCAATCCAACCATGGACTGACCCCACTGGAAAGTATAGGCCAAACAAACTTTTCCTTCTTTAAATTGTGTGTGTGTCAGGTACTTTATTCAAACAAGAAAGTACAAAGGTCTTATGGGCAGGCAGAGCAGAACACCTGAAGGAAAACTGAAGTGTTGCCTAAGGGTGAGTTGGCCTTATACCAAGATGCAACCATTACGTTCAGTGTAGAATGCGTCTAATTTCCTGGGAAGATCCTCCATATGTCAATGCCAGGTTTCTGGGCAAAGAGAATTTCCCTTAAACCAAAATAAAACCAGGAAATCTTGAAACCACTAGGCCCCAGAGAAGTTGCCCAGGTATCTGCTCACTTAAGACTGCAGGCAAGAATGGGAAAGAAGAACCAGCAGAGGTAAAAGAAACCATTACCCAGCAGAAACCCAGCACCAGCAGTGACTCCGCACTGGGCTTCTGCATGCACCATCTTGTTTGTTTCCCAAAACAGGTGCAATGGTCACTATTTCACAGTTGTGGAAATGGAGGCGTGGAGTGGCTCAAAAACTCTCCCAAAGTCACAGATGTAAGTGCGTCAGCCAGGATAAGGCACCCCACCTGCCTGTCTCCAAAGGTCTGGTACTTAAACACCAGCCCATGGTGCTTTTGTTTCTTGGTTTATTCATTCTCTAACAGAGTTGATGCTCAGTGTCCTGACCTGTGGGATATAGGTCCCTGGGGACACAGCGGTAAATGAGACACAGGCTGTCCCTCCGGGAGCTTAGATAGCTGGCAAGAATGACCATCAACTACTTTGAAATGGTAGAAATGAGTCAGCAAACATGGAGGGTAGAGTCCCCCAGCATGGGGGAGTTTTCCTTGTGAAACAGACCCCAGATGGAAGTGTAAAGGATGTGCTAGCAAGATAAAGGAGTGTGACAATGAGACAGAGAAGGATAAGACCCTTACACCTTGTTAGGGAGTGAGAGCCTCTAACAGATGCTAGTGTTGAGCAAAACTAAATATAAAGCAGGAGGGGCAGAGAGTCCCAGAGAAGCTGGAAAGGTGGGGCAGAGGGAGTTTACAGAGCACCTGGTCAGTGTGCTGGGGTCAGAACTGGGCCGGAAATGCAAGGGGGAGAACTAGCAAATAGTATCACCTCATGGATTCTTTCTTTTTTCCCTGGTACTGGGGCTTGAATCAAGGGCCTCTTCCCTGAGCTACATCCCCAGTCTTTTATAGTTTTCTCTTAAGACAGGGTCTTGCTAAGTTGCTGAGTTTCCCAGGCTGGGCTCCAACTTACAATCCTTATGACTCAGCCTCCCAGCGAGCTGGGATTCCATGCATGCATCATCATACACAGGTGAAGCACGTAGATTCTTGAGCAAAAGCCAACACTACTTCAAGAAGACAAACACCTGGAAAAGGCACTTAATTTGGACAGTTTCAATTTCAACTGAAAGTTTTCAGTTTCAATTCTCTGGCCCCATGACACCTGCTCTGTAAAATCTCCGCACTTCTCCTATCGTCTCTCTTTCTCCGCCACTGCGGGCAATGTGGGTAGGGAACAAGCAGGTGAGAAAGAGGACGAACACGTACATTCTGATTCCTTTCCTTGTGTGACCCATCATCCAGCTGACTCACTTGACAGATGAGGAAAGAAAGACAGAAAAGTTCAATGATTGTCACTAAATTCATCACGAATGTCTCTGATCCATCATTCCCTTTAATACAACCCCATACTGCACATTATACATAGTAATATCTGTGATCCCAACAAGGCTTGGCACTGCACAAAGTACATTTGTCCACCACATAACCTCAGGTTTCGCCTCCTCTTCTGCTTTGGCTAATGGGACACTGACAGAGGCTGGAAATGTGCTTGTGTGGTTCAACATGCCTGCGTGCACTCTGACCAGTGCTAGGAGATCATGCCCTGTAGGTGCTCCTCTTCTGGACCACAGAAAATATCACACAGAGTGGACCTGAACCTGGTGTAAGCCTAGAGCTAAGCTCAGCTGAGCCCAGCTAACTTGAAGAGCTTCAGCCTGAAGCAGAGTCACTCCACTGAACCTGGAGACAATGGATATGTGAATAAGTGTTATGGTTTGATGCCTTTGAATGCAGGGGAAATTTGTTACCCAGAATCATCATGGCAGTAGCTGATTGGTGAGAGATGATTCAGATCTTAGAAAAAGAGTTACTGAAATACGCAGAACTGCCTTGCCTTGGAGGTAGGTTGCCCAGACAGCTGGCTCTCTGGGAAGGAAGCAACACAGATGGCCACCTCGCTCTGTTCTGTCATCCCACTGAAACCCCTGCCCACTACACGACACTCACCTGAGTCTGAGGCTGCTGGGCTCACCAGGCTGAGCAGCTCCCGCTCCTTCTCATAGTCCCCTTTGCAGAGCAGCTGCCCCTCCTTCAGGACAAACTCATCACCCTTCTGAAGCTGCCGCTCACAGACACAACAGCAGAAGCAGCTCAGGTGGTACACGCTCTTCTGGGCCCGCATAACAAACTCATTGGGTGCGATGGCCTCAAAGCAGCCCCCACATTTGACAGCAAATAGCCTGGCAGCAGGAGAGAGGGAGAGAGGACAGACACTGTGAGAAAGATCTGGTCCGGGCCCCAGTCTCCCCTTGGGTTAACAGCGAAAGGACTTCAAAGTCCTGGGTCAAGGAAGCTTGGACTGGAATATACTTGACACCCAGGAAATTCAGACTCTTCCTGGTCACTCCACATCTGTAACAAGCCAGGGTGGCCTAAGAAAGACCTAAAGTTTTTTGTTTTTAAAATCTTGTCTGGTGATACCACAACTGCATTTGTCAAAGGTGTGGCATAAGCACTAAGTGATGTATTCGAAAAATTTTCTGGCATTCGTTATAGCATTCATTTTACTACTTCCAGAATAAAGAGCTGTTTTGCTTCCTAAAGCTGTAGCACAATGGAGAAAGAGGGGCTCTGTGGAAAACATCCTCTGTGTTTGTCCCTACTCGCTGGAGTCGATGGGTATAGAAAGGTCAGATGGTGCAAGGGAGAGAATGGCAAGGAGGGACAGTGTCCAGGGTGGGCACAAAGGAGCCCACACCACTCCGCTCTTCACAGAGACAGAAGACAGGAGCTGACTCTGAGTACCTGCAGGAGCTGGTGCCGGCTTGTTCTGCTCATAAGCTCTACCTCAGGAGGAGCTAAGGAACCATGAGTACCGAAGAGCATTTTCCTGCACACAGGAACATGACCACGGCCGCCTCAAGGTGGCCAATCCCGTCTAGAAAGCGTCTTCACACACTCACTCAGTCATTTCATCCTCTGTTTTTTCATCCTTTCATTTATTCACAAGCATTCACCATGCACAAACTCCACATTTTCACAGGGAAAGGAAGCCAGCGCCCAACAGCATTCACTACAGGTGCAAGTGTATAGAGAATATCTGCTGTGTGTCAGGCATTGTTGTAGACGTAGGTGGATACAAGACAAATCCCCCACCCCACAGAGTAAACAAAAAATACATTAGTTAATAGATAAATAATGTCTACCCTTCAGGATTTAAGAACAATACAAAGCAGTGTCCTGTGATACCACACAGAATGATATAAAGCTATGGCATATATAAAAACGTTATGATAGTCAGTAGTTTCCCAACCATGAAATTGGACTCATTTATAGCTTTAAACGACTCGTGGCAAACACTGTGTTTATCTTGGAAGACCCTGGAAGAAGGGAAGCATTTTGGGGGGTGGAGCAAAGAGGAAGCTGAGGAGAAATTCCCAAGGACACAGGACACACAGATGGGCACGAAAGAAAAGGGAAGCCATTCAAGCACTTTGAGCAGTGGAGGCCAGGGGCTTGGAGCAGTGAATGGAGTCACCTGCCACGAAGCCACGAGGAGCAATCTCCTGGGGCAGGGGCCAAGCCGCAAGAGTAGGAGGCCACGTGCTGTCTTACTTCTGACACGCGCCTTCAGCCACCACACCCACCCTTCCTGGCCTCGGCCACGGGGAGTACCTGAGAAACACCAACGCTGATGTTCCGCCTCTCAGATTCAGAAAGGAGGGTGAGGCTGGGGATAGTCCAGAGAGCTGGTAGGGCTCTTTCACCACTAACAAAGTGTGCTAGAACCCTAAACCGGAACTCCAGGTACTAGAAGCCCTTCTGTCCTCTTCCTTCCTCCAGGTGCCCTGTGTGGTTTTCCTGTCTCTCCGGCAACCTCACATCAGTCCCTGAAGTGTTTGCCTTTCCTCCCTTCTCCCTGCCTCCTGTGTTGCTGGACACCATGCATTAGGTAGAAAAACTACCCAGTTCATCTTTGGGCCCCAAGTCCCCAGTCACTGTTTGCCAACCTGAGCAAACTCATCAGGGCCTTTCCAGGAGCTGGTCAAAGGGCCTTTGTCCCCACGCCCTGCTTCTCCTCCCCTTCCCCAGGAACGGACTGTTAAACAGACTCAAGGCAAACTCCCAGGGAGTCAACAAGCACTTGAGAATGTGCAGCAGCAGGTGGTAGCATCTGTGCTTGTCTAACTTCTACCCCCTTAATCTCCTCTTTCTCTTCCCCTTTCTTTTCGTTGCCTACTCCAAAATTTTCCCCGAAATTGGAGAAGGGAGGGTTGGAGTGAATCAACCATGAAAGCCTGCCATGTTGACGGGGAAGTGGCAGGAGTTCTCTGTGCTCAAATCCTGAAGTGGTCACGGTCACTGGGGATCACAGGCCCACAGAGGGGCAGTCCTGCTCCTCTCCATCAGCTCTCCCCTCCTGGGTCCAAACCAGGTCACCCTCAGCTCTGTAAGCCTCTCTCAGTTCTGAGAAATTCAAGGAGCAAAGGCACATGCAGCCCACACCTGTGTGCCAGATGTGTACACAGATGTACTGGTACCACTGTGGACCCAGCTGCCGACTGCACACCTCCCACAAGTTGTTTTCTCTAAGGCTCAGACAAGCAGAGAAAAGGATTTGTTCAAAAGTCCAGGTCCTAATTAAAACACAGCCTGTCTTCTCCTAATACTCTGGATGCATCCCCCATGGTTACTTCCCCCTCTGAATGCTAATGAGACCTCGCTCCGGGTTCAGAGCCTGGCAGACGGTGCCATGGAGAGCTGGGCAAGGTTTCCAGAATCATCAGATACCCAAGTTTTCTCATCATCAGAAAGTCTCCTACCTCTCAAAGCTCATCCCCTGTTTGCACCTCACTCTCTCACCTGTAAAATGAGAATCACGGTATCTTCCTTATGAAAAAGCACTGGGTGCACTACCTGCTTCAGAGACTAAGCCCTCAGCACTATCTTCCCTCTACTGAGTCCCCTCTGAGTAAGGCCCCGGAGACACTGTGATAAACAAGGCCACCCCAACCTTAGGGAACTCACTTTCTCCAGCAGGCAGCAGGCTTTAAATGAACAGCCACGCGTGGGTATATTTAAGTAGCTGGGAAAAGGCACAAAGGAGAGACCCACCCACCTCGTTTAGGCTAGCAGTCACTGATTATTCTACCTTCTTTTTCTTTGTTCTTGCTTTTCCTCTTCCTCCATACTCCTTCTGCTGTTTCCCCTGTGCTCTGCCAGGCGGGAAAGTAGAGGCTGACGGAAGCTCCACCCAATGATGCCCTGCTTACACCTTTTCTTGAATAGCCACCGATTATGAGAGGCAAATGACAGTGCCCAGGCTCGCAGCACTCACCACGTCCAAGCTGTGTGGCTAAAAGCCTGCATTCCTCCCCTGCTAAAGACCAGCTGGTCCCTACCCTTCTGAGAACCTGTATGTGAGGACTTTGTGACCTGTAAGTATAGCACAACTCTTAGGCATTTTTCTTGGCCACTTCTGTTTTTATGACATTTAGGGATTTGCTTTTTTGCCCCAAATGTGTTTCTCACCTCTTAAGGGTTTCCTAACCCCGACCTAAGAGAGTCCTTCCTCCTCAGCAGGGTGACCACACCCAGCTTGCAAAGGCTCAACTTCATCTCCAGGGCACGGGGTTGTTCTGGGAGATGAACCCAAGGGGCGTCACACTCGGGGTGATGCTAGGCAGGGCGTGCTCTTCAGACCAAGCCACGGGCCCCACTTCCTCCCCGCTTGGGCTGAGGTCATCCGGCGAAGCAGATCTCTCCACTCTGCCCTGTGCCAGGGGCCACCGGGGAAAGCAAAAGAGGAAAAGCGAAGAAGTAGCCCAGGGAAATAGCCCGAATTCTGGAGCAACAAGACCCGTGCCTCTGTCCTTACCAAGAGCCTCAGAAAGGCCACCGCCTCTCCGTGGGCCTCTTGTTTCTTAACTCTCATTTCTTCATGAAAAGTACTGCCTGGGACCAGGTTTATGCCAGGAACTTGGAGGACAAAGAGGACTACATTTCCATTCCTTTTTGTCTCCTTGCCCCATGCCTTTCACCAGAGAAACCCATCTGCCCACACCTCAATCAAAACTCCAGTGTTTTGGCAGAACGTGGCCTTGCTAGAGCAATTCTCCAAACAAAATCTTTTCAAGCTCAGTATCATTTACACGTGGATGCAGGTAAAACAGTCAAGGCTAAGAGAGATGGTGTATACAGACAGAAAGACAGACATACACGCACTCTCACACTCTCCCACACACACCTCATAGATATGACTAATTATATATATATATATATAGTTTGATATAACAAATATATAGGCTGATTGTATATAATTTCGTATATGTTTATATAATGATATATACCTATACATATAGATATATAAAATATTGTAATGCTTTTTGGAAGATAACATTTTCCTATCCATCTTTCCTACACCATCTTTGAAATCCTCTAGTCTGAGTGATTTTTTATGTGTATATGTCTGTGATACAAAATAATTACATGTATCCTGGGATTTTACACATACACATGGAATCTTAATTCCCTTTACTTCTCTGTCCCCTCCCCTCTCCCATTTCCTCTGTCCCCAGATCCTCTTTCCATTTCCACCAAGTCTGCTGAATAATCTCTTAACTCATGCTCATCCTTATGTTCTACACTCTTATCACAGGGTTGGGAAGTACCGTAACTAAGAAGACATGAATATCTCAAAAGCAGATACAGCTGGGAGCAGCTGCCCACACCTGTGATACCAGCTACTAAAAGAGGTTGAGAACGGAGAATTATAAGTTCAAGACCAGCCTGGGCAACACAGGGAGACCTTATCTCAAAATAAAAATTTAAAAAGGGCTAGGGAAGTAGATGAATGACAGAGGACTTGATCAACACGTGTAAAGCTGTGGACAGTGGACTGGAAAAAAGTAGCTATAGAGGCTTGATCCTGAGAAACACTAGGGAACAGGTCTAAGGTATAAATAAAGAAGCTCAGATGATTCTTGCAGGAACTTTATATATGGGGTAACGTGGTAGGTCATTGTTTTCAATGTACAGTAAGTCCAGACTCACAAACAAGTTCCATTCCGGGAAAATTGTTGGTAAGTCAGAGTCGGTTGTAAGCTGACAAAGTGAGTCTTACACCTGTAAGAGTCTGATGTGCAAATGTTTGGAAGTGAGGGACTTACTGTATAAGGAGAAATGCAGGGATGGGTTGGACCCAGGAAAAACCAACGAAGTCCAGCTCGAGAGAGAATGA